ACTTATCCAAGATTGTATTGATGATCCCAGCTATTTGATAGACATGGCTATATTAGCTCCAACATTGGCTGTTGTTGACTCCATCAATTACTATAGGGAAATGGGTCAAAAACACCCCCAATGTTTGATGTAAGGTACATATATGTCCATAAATTTCTTTTGGTGCGAATATATTATTAAAATTTGCTACTATTAATGTATATATCCCCAATATTTGTTGTAAAGTACATATATGTCCATGAAGTTTCTTTAGATGCAAATATATCATTAAAGTTTGCTACTATTAATGTATTTATCGTTGCTACTTGTATAGGTTTTAAATATTTTTTTCCAATTGCGCCACTCAATTCATTGTTTAATGGCGACAAAAAATACTTGCATGACAACATCTCTCGGGACTTCATCAACATTGTAAGAAAATTTCTCCTAAATAAATAATAATGTTTTCAGTTTATATTTTTAATGTCCTTTTAAATTATTTGTTGAGTATTCTATTGTTCCAACAATCTAAAATCTAAGTGAAATTTTTTAAAAAAAAATTTGTCCCCATAACATGCCAATGGAGATTTGAATATATCAAATTTTAGGTTTTGTTAAGAGTTCTATTTTATATGTTATGCAATATATTGATTTTTCTTCTGAAATAAAACGAGAAATATATCTATCATGTATAATTTAAAAAATAGTATTCGTATATGTATATGAATTATTCTGGAAGCACAATAGAAAATTAAATTTGCATGCATTTTGACATATTTTGAAAGCACAAGTTTCACGTCTAGCAGTTAAATTTGCATACATTGAGTATTTTTAGTTAAGAAAAATATAATAAAATCAAACAATCCCAGTTTATTAGCCTCCGTATAATCTTAAAGTAATATAAGTTTTGTGTTGGCAATTTTATTTTTCCTTTTGACAAAACAATTTCAAAAATATTTTGCCTTTTTGCGTTTTTCTGTTTTATCATAATTTACTTTTTTTTTTGCATATATAAAATTGTCCAAAGAATTATTAGCAAGTGTTTACATCATATTAAATGTATTTTTGATCAGTTAATGAGGAGTTAATAGAGCTCTTTTCCCTATTAGGAAGAATGTAAACATCATTATTGGCTGAACTTAATGGTATATTTGTACTTGCAGACTCTTCATGGACACATATATACTTTGTAGCAAACATTAGGGGTGTTTTTGACCCATTTTCCATTAATATATGTCATCTTTGAATCAATCAGAGGTTCATACTTATTTATGTTCTGATAGCTCATGCAAATTCAATGGTGGTGTTGATTTCTTGCATGACATGCACGAAAATAGTATAAAATGTTCTGGTGTTCAAAATCATGAATTGCACTTAAAGGTTAGGGACTTCTGTCATGTTGTTGAGAAACATTGACCATTCGATCGGACAGTGTAATGGAACACGCTTGGTGATAACGAAGCTTGCCACTCACGTGCTTGAATGTAAGATTCTAACCGGATCAAATGTTGGACATAAGGTATTGGTACCAAGACTTTTCCTAACTCCATCTAATCTCAGGATACTCTTCAAGTACAAGCGTAGACTATTTTCTCTTATGGTTTCTTACGCAATGACAATCAATAAGAGTCAAGGACAATCGTTATCCCATGTCGGACTTTACTTGAAAAGGCTCGTGTTTAATCATGTTCAGTTATACGTTGTTGTTTCTCGAGTCACTAATAGAAAGGGATTGAAAATATTAATATGTGGTGACGATAATGGAGAAAGTAAAACTACTAAAAATGTTTTCTATAGAGAAAGTTTTTCACAATTTGTAATAATATACAATATTGTATTTTTACTATCGATTCAATAATGACGTTATTTATTTGTCATGTACTTTTCATGGTATATATATATACATATATATTAATTAAAATATTATAATAAATATATCCCGTGCATCGCACGGGTGAAGATACTAGTAAGGAATAAAAATTCGAGTTTTTAAACATTTCATCAAATAAGGAAAATAATGATTTTCCAACATTTCATCTATTTTATTAACAACCAAAGCAGAAAGAAATTTTAATTATGTGTGATTAATTATTTGATTTTCAAACTTAAATATATAGGTCAAATGTGAGGTTTTTCAATTTTTTATTTTTTTTTCAAAATAGTGTTCAATTTTAGTAAAAATGAAAAATACAAGCAAAAATTTAACTGATGTTTTAAATAAATCTTTTACCTTGTATATCTATATATATATAAAAAGATTTACCATTTTATAAATTTAGCAAGTTTTTCCCGCCAAATCATTAATTGTATCCTATATATAGTAATTTTTGTGCAATTGTGAATAAGCAAAAAAAAAAAAAAAGGCTCTTTAATTGTTGTTTCCTTAATTATAGCTTCAAAATTGGTTGCAACTTGGTTTCCTTAATTATAGCTCTTTAATTGTTGTTGCGAAATTTATGCCGAAGAATTTAAAATCGTTTGCAACTTGGTTTAAACTTTCACACAAAAAAAATGCAAAATCACACAAAATCATACTGTTCAAAATGCAACAATATCGTCCAACCGGATACATTCTAATGCAACATTTCTATCTTACAAAAAATCTGAAAAATAATACCGTCAACTATGATTTTAAGTAAGTTGAATCTTCCAAACAATGTGAAATCAAGATAGATTTTTTTTTTTTTAAAAAAAAGCTATAACAATTTAATCTTCCAACCAGTTATACATATTTTTTTCAATTTTTTTAATTTAAAATATATAATTTTTTATTAAAAGATGATTACAAAAAATATTTTTTAAAATAAGTTAAATACATATTATTTATACCATATTTACAACAAATCACGTGTGAATTGAGGAGAAATCTTTAGTCAAACTAAATAAGAGTTTTCCTTTCTTCAAAGCTTTAAAACTCATCCAATTCAAACAATATATTTTATTCCTGTTGTAATCTATATATTCCATTATTCTATCCCAGAATGTCCTACGCAAGCCGTAAGCTTTTTTTTGTCGTCATACATTCTCTTCATCATATTTATAATATCTTCATCATATTTATAAGTTTCTATTATTAATTGAAAAGCCTAAAATATTGACTTTTGTTCCATACACCATTAAAGATCGTACAAAAAAATCTCATTAACGTATACCCGCCTAAAAAATCTCAAGGTAATTTTACAGAATCCCATCGCATAAAGACTGTACAAAAAACCCATTAATGTATACCGGCCTAAAAAAATCTCATGGTAAAATCTCATTTCTTAGGTATCTACTCTAACATATTTTTTTAACAAAATTATGTAACATAATTTTTTTTTCTTGAAAAAGTTAATTCGCTCTAAAGTATAATTGTTAATATGAATCTGATCTACGGTCAGAATTTTTTTAAAATTTTAATTTTCACCTATCTAAATATTAATATTTTTTCAAATATTATTAACATCTATAATATTGGAGATATTTCAAACATTATTTGGACAAAGATTAAGGAGCTATATGTATATACCTATATATACATATATACCTATGTATATACCTATATATATATATATATGATATATATACATATATTGAGCTTAAATTTAAGTATTTTTAGACATGATTCCTTAAAAAATAGTTTAGATAGCGACTTCAAACATTTTTCAAGGATAATATAAAATATTTTATACACTTTTTATACTATGTAATATAATATTATATATGTCTTTAATATAAATATATATATATATATATATATATATATAACGACAATATTTTATTCAAAATCAAGAAAATGTTGCAAAGTTTAATTAAGTGGTTGTTTCGAAATGGCAAACAAAATGAAAGAGCTGAGTGAACAGAGTGATTTTACTTTTACTTATCGGATAGTGAGAAAATCGGTTCATTCTTCATGGAATGACCGTGTATCGTGTTTTTATTTTAATAGTTTTAAAATTGAAAGGTTTAATTACAGATATTCTTAATACGGTCGTTTTTAAAACATTTAGAAAAATCTTTATAATCGTGATATAGTTTATCGAATTTAAATATTTGGTCCATACTTTTATTGAAAGATTGATAAAAATTACAAAAGAATAAATATATTGTATATTTTTCATTATGCATAAAAGAAAATACGAAAAATATTAAAGAATGACATGATTCACATTTTGATAATAAGGAATAAAAATTCGAGTTTTCAAACATTTCATCAAATAAGGAAAATAATGATTTTCCAACATTTCATCTATTTTATTAACAACCAAAGCAGAAAGAAATTTTAATTATGTGTGATTAATTATTTGATTTTCAAACTTAAATATATAGGTCAAATGTGAGGTTTTTCATTTTTATTTATTTTTTTTTTTTTTTCAAAATAGTGTTCAATTTTAGTAAAAATGAAAAACACAAGCAAAAATTTAACTGATGTTTTAAATAAATCTTTTACCTTGTATATATTAAAAGAAGATTTATAACTATAAATCAATTATCGCAGGATTTCTTAAATCTTAATAATAGTAGTTAAAAATTTTTAAATAAATACAGAGTATCAAAATAAAATAAAGATTAAAAGACGACTTGGTAGTACCGTAGTAGGGTTTAGAGCAAGCCTCTTACACCCCTTTCCATTGAGATTAGTCCATTCTCAACAGAGGTCCTTTCCAGTTTCCACCGGCGGTA